AATTGTTTAGTTGTATTTCGTATGTACTCCAAGGAAGTACGTTTGTTGTGTTTTTCTTTCATGTTGAAAAAAAAGTTTTGTATTACTTATTTAGTTATGACAATAAATTTTTGTCACGTTTACATTGTTTGTTTAATTTTGACTACCATTGATATTTTTAAGATATTCTTAAGTTTAATTTTTAAGTTATTTCATTGAAAAATTTCAACCAACAAAAGTTGAACTAAAGTCATGTTATAAAAGACATTGATGTGCTTTTAATGTTTTAATATATTTGGACTCAAACTTTAAAAATTGCATAGCTAAAAGCTTATCTGTTATATCCTGAAGTGTTTTCTGAGTTGTAGTAGAATATAGAAATCTCAACTGTGTAGTTTTCATAAATCAGATTTTAAAACTTTTTTGTCCAGTACGACACAATACTGCTTACAAAATTGACAGGGGAAAAAAGCAAACATTTCGTAATCATTACCTCTTTTATTATTTCAGAAAAATTTTCTTTAAATTTCAGAAAAAATTTGCTATGTTACACTAAGTTATGTTAATTGGTGAAAATGTAAGTTCATTCTTGAAATTTTTCTAATGTAGTACCCATTATCGTGTTTGTTCAAAATCATTCTCAATTAATGAAGGACGCATGTAAATTAGCAAGCATTCTCACGGTAAAATACATCATTAAAATTACTGCTATAACTTGAACTCGTTAAAACTATAGTAACTAGTGTTAGTAATGATTCAACCCCAAAATAAACAAGAATATATAGCTGAATTAACATGAAGTAGTTTCGTTGTTGTCAGAGGAGGATGTTTCTCCGTTAAAGAACCTAATACGTTCTTCTTTTTTTTTTACCGAAGAAAACAGTGGATCGTATAAAATCTAATTTACAGGAAAAAATTTTTAAAAAAAGTAAGTTTCGCTAATTATCTTTTTATGGGAAACTGGTAACGATAATAGAAAACTATTTCAAGTTAAAGAAGATTAACTCAAAAGTAGCTAGGTTTTACTACACTTTGTCACTAATTCAGTTTTTTTTCACCTTGTAATATGGTGTCAATTTTACAATGCATAAGATTTATGTACTTAAAGTAATGTTCATATAATTTAAAAAGAAAATGAAAAAAAAATTACATCTAATATTTTTATATAATCTAAGTATAAAATAAATATTGGTAATCTGATATTATTGGCGATATTCTCAATGATTTTAATGAGAATTCTTTAACGGGTTTCCCGTAGTTTCAAAAACTATTTTTCCAGTGTGCAAAGATAGTACATTAATATTTTCATGAATTATAATTAAAATTTTCCCATTACGTTTTTAAATATTTTAAACAGTAAATTAAAGATCGGATTGAGAAATGGTCGTGTTCCAAAGTCCTTATCGTGTTCTTAAAAGAATTCTGTTGACTACCTCTGATAAATGTATTTTCCTCAAAACACAAATGTTGTTTTCTTTTCTGTTTTCTTGGTTAATCTGCTTTGCTCTTGTTTTCTTGGTAATTTTTTTTTATTCATGTACTGGCATTTTCCATGTTCTAGTGCTATTGGTTTGTTTTCTTTGTTAATTTTTTTTGTTTCATTTGTACGGGCATTTTCTAGATTCTTGTCTTCTTGGTTTATTTTTTTGGTTTTGGTGCTCTGTGATAATTTTCCTTTTTTCTTGTGCTCCAGCAATTTTTTTTTTATCTAGGTGCTTTGTACCATTTTCGTTTATTCAGAGCTTTACTTTTTTACTTTTTTACCACTGCTAAATACATTTCAAACAAAACCCAAATGCTCAAGTGTTATGCAATAAGCGCTAAATATGCTAATATAAAAAGTATATTGATGCACTCGGTAAATATTAAAACTTCACCAATACTAAAAAGCCTGCAGAAAATCCGTGTTTTACACTCCCTTAAAAGGGAACCGGAGAAAATTAAATGATGCGATAAATTATTTTAACTATCATAAGTTTGGCAGCGATCAATATCATCACACCAAGTGATGCAATTAATCTTAATTTTGATGGAATGAAACACAAAGGCCATGTTTCGTTTAATATAATAATGTAAAGTCACCAAGAAGGGCAAATACTTGGTTGATTGGTTGGTGTCGTATCCTCTATTCAATCATATTTCATGGTGTGTTTGAATAGTTTTTGTTATTTCCATGGCATTAAATGAATACAAATCCTCTTCTGTGGGGTAGTTTAAGAGGTAAAGGCAGTTAAAAACATGATATGGTGGGGCAAATACTTGAGATAAGTAAATGATAAAAGCTAATTTATAATATCTGTATTAATTGGAGATTTCAATGGAGAAACCAGGTAAGTGACATTTTCAGAGAGGTTATAAATAGTTTAGAAGAAGGCGAAAAGAAACTATTAAAATACCGATTAATTAAAAGGTGGAATAATTTTTCGTCTTGTTTTGCTTACAACCATCTATTTTGATAATAAAATTAGGCATACATACTAAAGACTTATATGTATTAGTTACGTTAAGATTGAAGTGAAAAAAATGCAATTTGCGTTGCATTAAATATACCTATAGTCATGCAACTAATTTCGGCGATTTTCACTGTTTCATAAATACCGATAAAATGTCTCTTACCTGGTTCTTCCACAAATCTTCAATTGTGTCGGTACAGCTTTGTGTTTGACTTCATAGTGTTAGTCAGTACTGATTAATTTTTTTTATTTACCTCGTACAATGAACTAGGATTTAAGTAGTTATTTATACTTTTATGTTTTTTGTACTTCAATTTTATTTTTTAAACCATTAATTTTTTTAAATTTGACCAACGAAATGAATCCTTTTTTCTTTTTTTAACTTTCTGCGAGTTTCCTTTAAATACATGTTTTTAGATTTTTAGGATTATTTAGCGCGGTGTTTCCTGTGATGGTTTGACAGTGTTGAGAAGAACTTAAAAACATTAGGAATAAATGGGAGGAAAAATCTAGCTCAAAGCCTAGAGACAGCCAATTGCGAAAGCCTTGGCCTGCACTAGTCTGTAGTGCCGACGAAGAAGAAGAACCTGTGATTAGTGCGCTCATTTGAGTTATTAAAGCACTGTTAATCAAGTGTTGGCGCAGTCTGACAAATTCGGACCTATCAATGAGGACTTATCGGATGTAGATCCCTAAACTTGGAAACTTGTACTGTAATTATTGCGCTTTTGTTCTTTATCCTTTTTTTTAAATAGTTTTTCTATACTGCAGATTATAAGTTACATTTTCTGTTCTGGTAAATCTGAGTTTGTAGCTTTTGGCTGTTCAGAGGCCAAATGCAGAAATCCCGTGTATGGTTCGTAAACCGATATTACTGTCTATATTACTTAATATTTTAATATAAACTAACTGCTTAAAACAAACACAGAGAAAAATTAAAAGTAACGCATGAAAAGCACATAAAAGCAGTTTGAAATGTAAAGTTTGCTAACGAAAAATGGAATAGTAAACGTTTTATTTTTATTTATTATTTTTTTTTTTAAGAAAAGCAGTAGCCGAAGAAAATAAATGAAAGCAGAGCAAGAAAAAACATAAGGGCAAATCAGGGTAAATTTCCAAGCACTTCAAAACAGTTTTGTTTCTTCACATTCAAGTCTGGCAAGTCTTAGAAATGGGCGTCTATTTTTGAAGTCTTGAAACACGTCAACTGTTAGCAAAATTTTTTATATTTTTGAAGCGAATGAAGTTTTTAATCAAGTAGTATCTTCCCACTTCAGCTTCTTGAGACTAATTATTTAATAAAATTANTCAGATCTTGCTATAAGTTGAGTTGAGATTTATATTCAAAAGAAGAAAATTGATTGAACGATTGGTTTCCTGAAAAGAGACCAATCGTTCTTGATGAGTGCATATGAATGGCTAATATAATCATAGCTGCAAACTCTACTGGATTTTCATTAGACTACAGGATTTTGAAAGTTTTTCCTGGTCTACTGGTTTAATTAAAATTGTTAAAATCCTGGTTTTTGTACATTTTAGAAAATTCTCTAAAATTGAGTAAGTTTCCTAAAAAAATCGCCACTGAAATAGAATTTTTGAACAGATTATTGTTTGCTTGAATATTAAAATAAGTATTACTCTGATACATAATGACAGGAACCTCATTTATAGAAATCAGTTCAAAACTTTTTTATTCTAAAATTTTCTGTTTATTTTCATTCAGAACTCTCTTTTTAAATTAAAAACTCTTTTAACTATCTTTGATGAATTAAATGCCTATTGAAATTCAAAATTCTGAGTATTATTAATGCATAACATTTCAAGTATGTTTAATGTCAATCATAACTGGAAAATATTGCAGTTTTTCTATTTTGATGGCTATAAAAATCCCTAAAATTCCTTATGTGTATTTAGTACATTGTGCAACAATTATCATGAAATTTATGTTTCGTAAAATCTACTGGATTATTTCCTATTCATGATGACAGCTATGTGCTTTGATAAGCCACAGATTTAAAATTTTCCTTCATGAGTATTTTCGGTGAAAAACACCATGATTTTCATGAAGTTTCTGCTCATTTTGATTCCATCTAGTGAAAATAACTGAGAATTGTAAATTGCTTGTTTAAGAATAGTGCTCAAGAAAAAATGAGGTTACAACTATTTTACTCTAATCTCTTTGTCTATACTGTCACGATAACATAGTTGCTTTTAAAAATTTGATTTTTTTTGCAAGTATATGTAACAACAATCTATCTCAAAAATTGCAAATATGTAACTAAATATTCTAACTCCCAATGAGTTGAAGTCTGGTAAAATAATTTAAAAATTTTCATTGACACGGCTGAAAAGCTACTTGCTTTCAGCTTTGCTAAAATTATAACTAACATTTTAGGAGTAAATAAACAGTGGTGTATTTTAGAGATGATAAGTTAAAAATAAACAAAAAATCAAGATTTTTTTTAAAAATATATTTTTAGGAATTTTGTTTCAAAATTTGATTTTATTCTGAATGAATTATCATAACACATGATTTTACATTTATTTATTTGTTTGTTCTTTATTTTCAGAACATGGATTCAGATATCTTAAGAGGATTATCAAACATTAGGATGTAATAATGATGGAAATAAGTACTGATACTTTCATGGAACAAGGTTATACAAAGAACAACCTGCCCTGGAAAAAAATTAAATTGGTAAGCTAAAATTCATGAATTTATTTTTTTCTTTTAAATATTTTTTCTATTTCTCTGTTTAAAGCTTCTATTATAAATTTTCTTAAGTTGGTTCATAAAATTTAAAAATGATTTTATCTAGCTTTTTTAAATGATTTACTTATAGTTTTAATGTGATCTGTAATTTTAAAAATGGACAATAAGATATTTTGTTTATGAAAATGTGTGACATTTGTGTATGTTTTTTTTTCTTCTTTTTTTTTTTTTTTTTTTTTTTTTTTTTTTTTTTTTTTTTTTTTTGATAGGGTTGTCAGAATGTAAAAAGTTTCTTTAACTTTTAATTTGGTATTTTCTAAAAAAATAAAGATTCACTAAGTATGCATAGACATATTTTGAACCTCAAAACATTAAAAAAATTGTTATTTGTTCTTACGTGGGGACATTTAATGGATTAAACAAATGGGGTAAGAAAATAGATGGTTTAGGAAATTAATTTATAAAATTAATGAAATAATATATTATCAAATAATTTTACTGCCTAAAATTTCAGGTAGTTATTTGTATATCGTTTAAATTTTTTACAATGTAGTTACTTTTATCTAAATAATATGTTATTTAAGGGAAGATGACAGTGCAACCACAGTGAGGAAAAGGTCGTCCTCGAAGGATCCCTTGAAAGCAATGAAAGTCTGATGGCGAAAAGGTAGTTATAAATTTACTAGAATGAAAGCTGCAGTTTTGAATCTAAATTTTAGTATCATTATTAAACGAGATAAAATTACTTTTTTTTAATTACAATTACACTGTTTTGTTGCTTTTTGTAAAACATTTTATTGTTTCACTTTATAACAATATTAAAGTTTGATTTCGGAAATTCTTTATAAATTATTTTTAATGGATTTCTGATTTTTATAAAAACGGTGCCTTTTTTGACTATTAATAAAAATCAAAATATTTATCTGTTAGTCATTTGTGTGTTCATAAAGCCTACATATTATGCATAACTGAATAAACTCAGTTGAAGTATTAGAATGTTTCCTACATGCTTCCAAATGAAATTACACTCATAATGTAAAATAATTTTTGAAGTTATACTTCTTATGCGACTTCCAACAAGGTTGCGTTAAACGTTAAACGCTACATTTTTATTGGCCGGGAAATCACGTGGTAGGGTCCTGTTTTCCCTCATTCATTTCTANGCTTTTTGTAAAACATTTTATTGTTTCACTTTATAACAATATTAAAGTTTGATTTCGGAAATTCTTTATAAATTATTTTTATTGATTTTCTGATTTTTATAAAAATGGTGCCTTTTTTTAACTATTAATAAAAATCAAAATATTTATCTGTTAGTCATTTGTGTGTTCATAAAGCCTACATTTTAAGCATAACTAAATAATCTCATTTGAAGTATTAGAATGTTTCCTCCATGCTTCCAAATGAAATTACACCCATAGTGTAAAATAATTTTTTTAATCATTAATCGGCATTGCTTTTTTTAATGAAAGAATATTTTTAATGATATTTTTAAATATTTTAATATTGCGACTATTTTTTATTTATTGAAACTAAAATATAGTGGGGAATCTTAATCTGTCTTGATTCTTTCTAAATTTTAGGTTTTGTTATGAGAGATGTGGATATGTTTTCAATAAGGAATATAAACATAATATAAATAATAAAAATTAGTGTAAATAATGTAAGCATGAGATAACAAATGTAAACATTGTTTAAAAAATAATATAAAGTATTATCTTGAAATAGTTCAAAAGAGAAGTTACACATTATAGATTTGATTCTGAAAATAAATATTTTCTTTTTTTATTATAATTTATCTGAATACTTCTTAAAATTTTCTGTTATTGCATTTTAAAAAGTCATTATTTTACAGTGATGATCTTGAAGAGGATGGTAATCAAAAGAAATGTATGAATACTGACTCTGTTATATGCAATACACTTGATGATTGGATTAATTTTGCAGACAAGTTTAAGGATAGTAATACAAAGTGCGAGAGATCTTTATTTGAAGTTGCACAACCTAATTTCTTACCTGCTCTGAACGAAATATATCAATAACAGGTATTTTTAAAAATCTCTTGAAAGTTGCTATTATATGCTATGAATGAATTATGTCTGGAAAAGTACTATTGTCACTTCGGAGTTGTAATTTTTAATTGTTAAAAACTTATTTACTATTTAAGCTGATTTCTTTTTTTTTTTTTTTTTGCTCTGAGTGCATTATAAAGTATAGGTACGATAATAGTCTCAAAGAGTTATTTTATTATAATGTTTTATAAGCAATAAAATAATACTGGTTTTTAAAGTTGTAACAAATTTATTGATTTTTGTATAAAAACTATTTTTTCCCCTTTAAAGTATTAATTAGTATTTTTCTAAAAGCAGTTACGGTTTATTTGAATAGATATAGTTGAATAAAGAATATCAAGGCATTTTTTAAATTGAATTGGAAAAGTATTTTCTTTAACACTGTGTATATTTAGTTATAACACATAATATTATTTGTGTTTGATGCGTAAAAATGCTGACCATTTTTTTAAATATTTTACTACTCTTTCAAGTCCTCTTTTGAAAATATTTGTCTTATTGCTATTAACTTTGAAGTCTGTGAAGTATTAATTAAAAATTTGCTCTATTTGTTTTCGTAAAAAAATGCACTTATAACATTCCATTATTGGTTCATATTTGCCCCAGCATTGTAATAAATTTTTTTTCTTTTTTTTTTTTTGCTATTTTGTTCTATTAATACTGTTTTTCATAATTTCTAGAGTTAGTAAGATTCTAGTTCTCTAATTTTTTTTAAGTAATATGACTCTTTTTAATTTTTTGTAGGAGAACACATTGATACAATGAACTGATCAGTCTTCCTATGATTACTAAGAGAGAAACAAGGAGTCATAACAGAGTAATTTATTCACATTTTTTAATTAATGTAATTTGTATGTTGAATATTCTTAAAATACCATTTCATTTATCAAATTATTATTGTTCATCTTAGTTTATTTAATAAATATTGATGGTTTTTAAGATCACTTGAATATATTTAATGAAGTTATACAGCTTTAGAAAATTGATATTGATCTAAATGATAATCCTAATAGTAAAAGTGTTTATTTAAATATAATCTTCATAACAAACATTGAATAACTATTTTAACTTATTAACCAATATAATTGTTAGAATTCGAATGATTTTGATTAAAATCTTAATTCATTATTAATTTCGATTAATTTTACGATTTAGATGTTTCAATCCTGTAAAATTACTTAAATATTACATAAATATTAAACTTTAAAAATTTTATTTGTCATTAAAATAAGTAGACGCATTACATTATATTTGTACTCTACAATTGTACATATTTGTATAATCAATTTAAGATTTTTTTTGTATGCATAAATATTTTATTAATTTTCATAGAAATATCTGAAAATCCTCAAAAGAGTTTGGGTTTTTTCTTCCCTCAAACTAAGCTCTTATCAACATTTTGGAATTTAATTATGTTTGAAATTTAAAATAAAGTTTTGTTTTGAAAGAAAATTATTGATATGCTCAAAGACAAATTACATAATAGCCAATAATAATTTTAATTTTGAACTGAATCAAAGAAGGAATTTGTAAGTACATTGAAAACAAGGTTTTTTGTGTTAACATATTTTTATTTAAAAAAGTTATTAAATTTTTAAAAAAAAAAAAGGTTTGATCATATGTGTATGTAGTTTGCTGTTTGCTTTTTATGTTTGCTTGATCAGATTATTACTTCCAAACATTTTGTTTAGTAACAATTTGCTTCGCAAATAAGTATTTAGTTCATCACCAAATAAATAATATCATTGTAGGATACTTATGAAAAATAGATATTTTATTCATATATCTCTTAATAATTTAAAAAATTTTTTTGTTTAAAAGCATAATCTTTAATTGCTTGCTAAAAATTACTTAACAGCATTATTTGTAAAATTTGTTCCTATTTAAAATTTAAACATTTGTTTTATGCTAGAATTGTAGTTTTTAAGGGAAAAATGGGTCTGCAGAATTATTATTCTGTGCTTACGTAAATTTGTGTTCCATTATTTTTTTT